CGGTGGGGGTCTATAGGAATGATTTGGAGGGGGCGGGGTGTATAAACAGAATGAAACAAAAAGACAAAAAACTAAGCAGTGGTTGATGACGTTTCGTTATGGTGTCTAAACTGTCCAGTTTGTCATTTACTTGCTTATTGTCGCTTCAGTTGTTATTGAAATCTATGACCAATTGCTATAATGTAAAAACACATGTACCTTGACTATGAGATAAATGATAAAACACGAAAGGTATTTATTTTAAACATATTTTATTGATACAAAAGGATTGGGCACAAGTTATTAAACTTATATGAAGCCCTCTCCAACACATGTTACAAACATTTATATTAACAATTCGAAGATGGCAGACTTTCAACATCGTGATAACAAGTATATTAAAAACAAAATATTATTGTACAGGCATGTTGTTTCTATCATATTCAACTNGGTTAAAAAAATAATGGTTTGCATCTTCACAGTAAAAACCACATTCACAACGTTGTTCATTAATAATGTTCACTCTGAATAAATCGTGTTTAAGAGAACTTGATTTGTTTCTTAATCTACAGTGTAAGATGTTATTTTTCCTGTCACCAAAGAGAAAGAGATGTAAAAAATTTGAAACGTGTTTTTTACGAAGAGTATCTCTAAACGTGCTAAAAGTTCCTAACTGTCTAATGTTAGTATCTAAACGGTTCCAGAGTCTTATAGTAGCTGGGAAGTAGGAGTTGTTTGTTATTTCCAGTCGGTTATTGGGTAGCGTGTAATTTTCGGAGTTTCTTAGAGTGAATCTGGAGTTTTCAGAATTTAAAGGTGGAAGAAGGTCAGAAAGGTATGGTGGGGCTAGTCCATTGCGTATTTTGTAGAACAAATTTAACTTCCGTCTAGATCTATGGTCAGATAAGGGTTCCCAGGCAGTTTCAGAGTATAAAGATTGTCTGCTTGTATATGAGGGAAGTCCTGTAACTATCCTGGCGGCTTCTAATTGAATTCTTTCTAGTTTATCAGCATCTGCAACACTACATCCATCCCATAGTTCACAACAATACTCTAAAGTTGGTAGAATATATGATTTATATATTTTATCTAAAGTCGTGCGATTTAGAGTATACTTTAGCTTTCTTAAAATACCAATAAGTTTTGCAGCCTGTGTTGATATATGTTCGATATGGTGGCTCCATTTACAGTTGAAAGCAAAAAATACACCTAAATGTTTATGGTGGTCAACAAAATCTACACTTTCATTATTAAAATTAATGTCAATAACGTGGTCTAGTTCTATGTTAGAAATCAGCAGAACTTCTGTTTTGGTCTGATTAAATTTGACTAACCATTTATTTGCCCACTGCTGGATAGTGGTAAGATCATTGTTAATTTTGTTTTCAATAACTAGTGGGGATTCATCTGAACATAATAAGGATGTGTCATCAGCAAATAGTTTTGAGATACAATTGAGATTATCAGTAATATCATTAATGTACAAAATGAATAGTAAGGGTCCGAGGACTGAACCTTGAGGAACTCCTGCATTTATTTTCCTTAAAGAAGATCTGCTGTTTCCCACAAAAACTTGTTGTCGTCTGTCAGTAACATAGTCAACTAACCAGTGTAGTAATTTACCTGAAATACCATAGCTGAATAGTTTCACTTCCAGCCCTTTATGCCATACTCTGTCAAAGGCTTTAGATATATCACAAAAAATTAGACAAGTTGGATGTTTTTTTTCTAGATTTTCACAAATTTGATGAAAAATTTCAATAAGTTGATGGACAGTGGAATTACCTGGCTGAAATCCTGATTGGTATTTGTAGATAAGAGAGTTTTCTATCAAATAATTATGTAGAAATTTAGTTACTACTTTTTCGAATACTTTCCCAACTGTACTGAGTAAAGATATAGGTCGGTAATTAGAGGGTTTAGATTTGTCACCTTTTTTAAAACAGGGCATCACTAGAGCATGTTTCCAAGCGTTAGGAAAAAATCCAGTATCGAGAGATGTCCTAAAAATACGAAACAATGGCACTGCGATCGAATGGGCTGTATTTTTTAACATGTTATTACTAATAGTATCAGGACCAACAGCTTTATTAATATTTAGGGATTTCAAAATATCGGTTATGTCATTAGTCGTAAAATATATGTCTGTTAAGGAGGAGTCCGTTCTGGTGTCAGCAGTCGGTACTTCAACGTTAGAATCGTCAATCGTTGATATAGACACAAAATAATCGTTTAGAATGTTAGATTTTGTTTCGTCGGACGTTTCTATGTCTCCGTTCGTCGGGTTCGTTAGAGGTGGAATAGAGTTTGATTTGTCAGAAGTCTTAATTAGGTTACGAACAGTTTTCCAGAATTTTTTGGGGTTCGAGTCAGTAAAGCTGTCTAAGAGTCTATTTATGTTCGCATAAAATAGTTCTTTAGTACGTTTCTTAAGGTTATTGACGTGGTTACGTTGTCGTCTAAATCGGTCATGATTATTGTCCGTGCGGTTGTTTTTAAATATCTTTAAGTAACGAACTCTTTTCCTTATTTCTCGTCGAAGTTCTGAATTAAACCAGGGTTTGTCAGTCGGCCGTATAGTAATTGTTTTTGTCGGGATACATTGGTCTGCTAAATTTAGAAAATGTTCAGTAAAAAGATCACACATATCGTTTGCAGACCGTGTCCGTGAAAAAAAATCAGTCCAGTCAGTAGAGTTTAGTAGATTATTGAACTGTTGATAATTAGCTTCATCATAACATATGATTTTTCTTTTATATTTTCTTACAAGTCCCGTGTCTATGGTCAAGTTTACTAGAGTCGCGTCATGGTCCGAGATGTTACGGTCTACGTCGATCGTATCAGCAAGTACATACAGGCACATGTCAGAAAGTAGTATTGGGTCAAGTAGTGAGGCGCGCGTGCGACCTGTCCTAGTCGGTTTATCTATAACGTTAGTCAGATGGAAGGAGTTCATTATGTCAACGAGTCTGTGATTATTGTCTACAGTCAGAAGATCAACATTTATGTCACCTACAACTATTACATACGGATTCTCGTTTAGTGCTTTTTCCATAGCATATTGGAAGTTGTTCCAATAAGACGGTATACAGTTTGGGGGTCTATAGGTGGTACACAATAAGAGTTTTCTGTGAGGAAACTGGATTTCTAACCATAATACTTCGCCAACCTGGAACTCAAGGTCTGGTCTACGACAAGTGGATAAGAGGCTGGAAGTGTAAACATTTATACCCCCACCCGGAGCACCACGGTCTTTACGATATAAGTCAAAGTTGTCTAAGAGAATGTCATCGTCTGCTACAGAATTGTCAAGGTGAGTCTCTGTTATACATATAATATCATAGTCACTAGCTAGTTGTTCTACAGAGGAAAGTTTGTTTCTCAGACTACGAATATTAAGATGGAATATAGAAAGGTCTTTATCATGATTTTCAGGGCCGGGATTAGGTTGTACATCATTACAAGAGAGAAGTAGTAACTGCATGATTAGGAGGAAGTCAGAATTATTGACTATACAAGATAATATATACCATAAAATATAAATACTCCGTGAATATGTATACATAACACACAGCCTACATTTACCCAGAATAGATTGTAACTTAATAGAAATAAAACATTTTGTAACAGTGAAACCATGTGTACGATTATAGAAGCAACCGATCGCCGCCCTATATGATACTATCTCATTACCCGTTGTCATCAAAAACGAACAAAAATTTCAGGTGGCAACCGGGCTCGTACATCGTACACGTGTTCTCATAAACAAAAATACTACCATAGAGGTCAGAGGGTTCAAAGTACATACAGGACAGGGGGAAGGGAAGGGAGAAAGGAAACGAGAAGGATTGAACAGATATGATAGGTAGTGAAAACATGAGAGAGAGAAATGCTATCATGTTGTATATTTCGACAGTTCCGGGGAAGTTTTCAAAAAATAAATACATAAGAATTGATATCTATATGCTATACTATAGTATATAAGTATGGAAACACATCATTACTGAAAACACAGATAACTTATTTTAACACATATTCCTACATGTAAATTTCCCATTTGTGAGTGTATGTATTAAACCATATTAAAGTTAATTTCAGTAGATCCTTGATTTAATAGTATAATACATTATACAGAAGATATGAACTTTACACTGAAACAGTAAATAGTTGATCAGTTATATGTACATATATCCATCACCATATCAGTTTGCATATAACCAGTATGTATAATCGTATGACAATATTATTGTTTACTTACACTCATTCATGTTTTGTTAAAATATATACTGGTGCGTATAGGTTATAAACATAATAGTTACAAACATTTACAATGGTACAAATATAATCATACATGCACATATTATGTTTAAGTACAGACAATCATTTAAGTATTTCTATAAACCCTTTTGCATACTGTTGACCATCTTGTATACCTAGGTTATCTTATTTACATATATATACACTCTTCCTATTTACATGAATATAACTTTGTATCTTACTTTATTGACCGTAATTTTCTAGATTACTTTCCTATATCATCTTTGAGTATAGTTGATCATTCTTTTATCCAGTTTACACATAGGTTTTGTTGTTTATTAGGCTGTCATATGATTATTTACATATATGTATCATTCATGTACATGTAGAACTTGCATTTATCACGTATGCATATAGGCATAGGTAAATATGTATTTTCATGTATCATATTTACACATAATAAACACATTTTCAGCTTTCTTATTTACTTATATATCTACATTTACATATAGTTTAATAAAATAAAATGAAAACAATATGACTTTTACATATATGGGTACTCCAATATCTAGTCTGTTTACTTGTTATGAGTTTGCTCAGGTGGTCAGTCATAAAGTAAACTTGCAAGTGTCTTATTTACAGATGGCACTCCTGGATTTACATAGTGCTGTATATTTACATTAAGGCAATATGCCGCCAATTATTTATAAAATTTGTGAGTAGCTAGCATGCTTTCATTTTGGTGAATATATATATATATATTAGCACACTTAAGCTTCATACCATATTTGTAGGTTAAAGAATATTGGTAACTAGGCAGTTTACATTTATAATGGCATATGTCATGCATGGTGAAATGTATATTTTTATATACACATGTACAATTCAATACTCTTACTGGACCTTATATTCAGTCTTTGGGTTCAGTTTAGGGAAGGGATCTCGTCTAGCATGTGCTGTCGAGATCTCAAAAAGATCTTCCGGCCCTCCTGTTCGTGCTTGATGAAAATGCGTCCATCGTTTGTCCAAAAGGAGTGAATGTCTCTTTTTGATTTAGCTACTGCTAGGTCTTTCATAATGGTTTGTCTGGCTCTAGTTAGATCTTCTGTTAGAAAAGTTTTATGGGGGTTCCCTTTTAGTTTAGATTTTGCCATGTAAACCTTGTTTTTAACTTTCCAGTTTTTGAACCGGCATATTATCTGGTACTTGTCATCCTTTGGCTTACCGATGATATGGGACCTGAATATATCATCTTCTGTGATGTCAACTTTGAGTATGCTTTTACACAGCTCAACTACAGTAGGGTCAGTGTTAGTGATAGATTCACGCTGCAGGGGGACGTTGTGAAACCTGAGGGAGTTTCTTCTGCCATATTGTTCGAGCTCCTCAAACTTGGTTTGTAAGTTACCAACAGTGTCTTCAAGCAGGAAACATCTATCAGTTAAATCAGAGTTGGCTTTGGTTAACTCAGAGTTAGCTACGGTTAACTGGTCGAATTTTGTGCTTAATAACTCAACAGACTGCCACAGGGGAATAACTATCTCGTCCATGGTTTGGCGAATAATCATGGTGAATGTATCTTTCATTAGAGGCGCGAGAGCATCAGCTAGTGCTGGAGCTAACGCAGGGGCCACACTGCTGGCGAAATCCGGGTTGGATATAGTAGTTCTAACTAGGGTGGACATGTCTATCTGTTTTCCTTTCCCAAGATGGAGAGTGAAGTCGCCATGAGAATCGGCCATTTCTGTATGAGTAGTACGTTGTTTAGTGGCTGGTTGCTTTGAAGCCGGACTAGGTGTATTACTATCGGGCTGAGCTCGTTTATTAGTAGTTGAGGGAGTCTTTACATAATGAGATGAGGACATCTTCCCAGAAAGTACTGTTTTGGTCAACACAAGTACGGTGGGCGAGTTGGTCAAGACACAATGGCGGGGGCAGTGAGCACAATGCACTCGCGTTAAATGTCAAAAAATGATTTGTCTCAGACGAGTAGGAAGAGTAATTCGAGAAAATTCTCGACAAAAAGTTCAGTTGTGCGGTATTTATAATGGGAGCAGCAATGTTTGTATAGATTAGATCACTCACATGTTACTTGAAAACAATCCCTCGGGAGTCGATATTTCACCCAACCAGACGTTGTCCGCCATCTTTTTTTTTATCCAAAAAGGTATGTGTGCTCAATTAATATACACAAAACACGAAAGGTATGTGTGCTCAATTAATATACACAAAACAAGAAAATGCAGCAAAGCTGCTGGATACCAAACCTTTTTATGAAAACGACTTACTGACAGTACATCAACCACGAGGGAACGTATCCTGCATATTTGATAACGCGCCCAACTGGCGCAGTCACAATCACGTGACCATACTGACCTGTAGCAATTAGGCCTAGGGGGCCCTCAATTAATTGTCGATAGTGGTCATTGTTTTCACAAGCGTTGATCAGTTTGGCGGTTTAAATTTTGTTGCACTTTCTTGCTCGACTTGACGGTAAAAATCGTTAAACATCATACCCTTTTTAACATGGGAATTCGTGTTTATTCTGGAACATTATTTAGCTGTATTCTGGATTACGTTTGCATTGCTTGACGATTCGTGTGAAGTGTTCGTGCATGCTTCGCCTTCAGTCCTGAACCCACTCATCGGTGCGCCCGCCAGTTTTGAACCCGAAAGTTTTCTGTTATCGCATTCTGAGCACGTCAGCTGGTTCTGCTTTATGTACGTTGATGACGAATGATGACTATTTATTTGTTTTCTGCATCAGTTTTTGCCGTGAGTTTCACATGATATTGTAGCGTTCTCGAAGTGTTGATTATTTATTCTCGCTGTTGCGATATGGGACCCAAACGCCGAACGACTAGGCCTACTCGATACAACCCCGAATTAATTAAAAACTGGACGCTTTCCCGGCTAAAAGAAGCTTGTGAGGAACTAGGAATTCACGCCCAAGGTAACGTCCGACGATTTGTTCTCGTTCGTTTGCTGCGTACCAACGATAGGATTTCTCCCGTTCCGGGCCCCGCTCTTGAAGGTGCGCGATCCCAAGATGCACAGCGAAGCGGAAGTTACAATTAAGATGGCGGCGCCCATGATACGAGCCATCTACAGGCATTTAGTTCACTTTCAGCAGAGATTCCTTATATGTAGAAGAACATTTTCATCTCTAAATGACAAATCTATGCGCTAACCTATAATTCTGTCAGCAATAGCTCTACTACGCCTGCTGACGTATACTGGAAACCAAACTGGATTACAAACATGTACAGATATGACCGGCGGTCAGAGTCCTGGGGGTTATTTCAGCGTACGAGCGGTTTCATATTTTGTCATCAATGTATATTGTGTATAAATATAGTCTATATTATAGATTTATGTCTAAAGTGAGTCTGTACAAGAGTGAGTCTTTGTACCTGCAGACGTAGCCCCCTGTTAGTCACGTATTGCCTTAATACCTGCGAGTGGGGATACCTTCTGAGCCATGTACATGTACTTATATACATTCACGCTTGCTGATGTATTCACACGCCTAGTGGGATCGCTCGCTAGGCCAGTGGCGGATTCAGAGACCTATCTGGGGGGTTTCCAAATTTCCTGGGGGGTTTCCATGTTGGAAAAATTGAGGAAAAAGGTGAAAATCTATGATTTTTAAAGAAAATTCTCAGGGTGGGGGGGTTTCCTGAAGCCCAAAAAGCCCCTCTGGATCCGCCACTGTAGGCCACATGTCTTTTTCTGTCTTACACAGCAGGGTCGCCTGCCGCGTGTCTATATCGTTCGATGAGTTAGTATTAATATGTATTTTGTATGTCAAGTACTTTGTGTTGTTTTAAACAGTCAGGTTTTCACAAATAAAACACAAAATCTTTGTCCGTACTGCTGAAGTACCTTACATCAATCTTGTTTCTGCCCATGTTCCCCCGTACCTATGGCAACATTAACAGACACAGCCAAACAGAGTCCTCCAGGTCAGAGAGGTAGTCATAATAAAACAGATTCATCTACAGATATTTACTGTCGCGTTCGTGTATTCCATGATGGTAAAGAGCTATGCAACAACTTTAATGGTGAAAGGGGCTGAAATTCAGCATATTGTAACAGTTCCAATCCGAACAAGAAGAGATAGCGTTAATAGCGTCTACACCTATTAATGTTGACGTTTTAAGGCAGGAACTGCAGGACCATCATAACAGGGAATTTGTAGAGGATTTGCTGCACGGCCTAACTTTATTTATATTATGACACAGGTTTTCAGCTCATGTTTTGCACTATTGTCACTCAATAATTGTCCCACAGCACGCAAATATACAGTTTTAACCACACGTGTAGGCCTAAATGTCAATGATTTGGCAATAACGTCATCTTCTGAGAGAGAAAAGCCGGCACTTAGGATGATTAACATAGAAGATCATTTATACATTTTGTCAAAATTGCAGCGATTTTTGCAAATATTTCTTTTGACAATGTACCTATTTGACTATTTTGGATAAATTATCAACCATCTTCTAGGTTAAAGCGTCAATCGTATCCCAGCCCCTTTGAGTAATTGTTATCACTTCTCGAGACTGCTACGAAAACACATTTTGCCACAACGCTGGTATTTTGGTTGTTATCACGTATTCGTTTTATACAAGTGAAATAAATATATAGTATCGAACGGGAAAATCATGAAATTTTCCATTTCTTTAATTTTTTCACGTCACGCTGTGCAAATATTGCTACACCAGAAAAGCGCGGGAATGTGTAACGTAGTTTTTGACGCCAAGTTGTAATGACGTCACATAGCGCCATTTTGAATGAGGTTTCACTGCAATTGGGACGTTTGCTAGTATTATCTGGTAAGATTTCCAGACAAAAATGATATTAATTGTGTAGTTATGTAAAATACGATTATGTATGCTGCAAAGGTAGACAACACAACCAGTTAGTCTGCCGTCACTTCAACTAAACTTGAAACTGAAAATCTACGCAGAGAATATCCTCGGGTTAGAC